AGGGTCTGGTTAGCGGGATGGATGCAAGGCTGGAGCTAAAGAAGCCATATGCAATTCTGACGTTGGAAGCTCCGAGATGGTGTGTGATGAAGCAAGCATGGCAATTGCGTCTGGAGATGAAAATGTGACGGTGTTTGGTGATGAGATCTAGTGGCTACACGTCAAGCATCACGAGCAACGGTCGCAAGACGTCACGGTGGGACCTTCATTGCTCCTTCCTTCTGAGCGAGATATCCGCCACCTTGATTTTTGGCTTGCCGTTTACTGCGAGTCTGTCTGTTCCATCGAGGATCCAACAGAATTCATCCGCTGCACGTCTTATAGTTGAGAAGTATCGACCTATCAGTGCTAGTATCCATGCGGCGCTGCTCCTCAGACTTCAGCCATCACCGTGACCGATTTCGGCTGGTCATCGCGATGTGTTGGAGTTCGACGTCCGGGCCTTTGACCCTACAAGGCCAATTTAAATTCCAGCATCGGGTTTCCGAGAGCTCTCCACTCACTCAACCTTGTACAAATCGGCAAGTAGTCAAGTAACATGTCAGACGGCATGGTTCATCCTCAAATCAGCAGGTCCTCTGTTTAAGACAGTTGTTAACACGTCCGAACAGATGTGACCACCTGCACGTTGTTCCGTCTCCTCGACTCTTTTTGTCTCGGAATCCAGGAGCATGGATGACCACAGCCGCGCGTGGCTACAAGGTTGATACGGCGTATTCTCCAACTCGACGTATATACAATATATCAAGGAAAACAACCGACAGCTCCTTTGCCATATATTCTAGCGCATCGTGACACAACTCCCAAATTGGATCGAAACCACCGCAGTCAGTCTCCCCTGGGCCCCGCCGCCAGGCCCAGGCACGCCATGGATTCGCCTCCCTCGATTCTCCAACAGCTACGGAGCACAGACCGAGTTGCCACCAGACCAGTTCTGCGATCGACAGCATCTCCACAATCCTAGAACATAGGTACTACATGTCAGCATGTACATCAGCCAGCCATCCGCTTTGACTACGGAGTACTGCATGCTCACTCGTGGCCTATGTCAGACCCCGCTATCCGTCATCGTTGAATTCGTAACTACGGAGTAATACGTACGCCATTGTTGGTATCTCAGATGTAGGTAGTAGCAGAGTGCGCCCGTCTCCCACTTGACAATGGTGGGTTATCTTGACGCCGTCCAACAAATCCACGTCCACCCGTTATTTAACCCTAATACCACTGTTGGAAACCATGCGGCTCTGCGTCCATCAGAAGGCTGAGCTATTCATCTCCATGGTCAATCCCTCCATTGCTTCAACGCCGGTGTGGCATCCTACCCGGGCAAGGTCGAGTTTTTGTTAGCTTCACAGGCATGTGGGTGCACTCTATTTTGCCACTTCTTGCCATCATTCAATCGTCTTCCAAGTGTACGCGGGGTAGTTATCGATACTTTTTCAACACTCTGGAAGGCGCATCCTTCATTCCGAAAACGTCTCGCATTCCGCTGATTCGAGCTAGGACATGAGCGATATGGATAGCTCCACGATGGTCTGATTACCTCCCGAAGCTGGCGTACTGGTCTCGACTTTGCCAGACACCACATTTACAGCTGCTCACATGAAACTTACTGGAACTTGTATCTCAATGGCCTCATGTAATAACAAACAGCGCCAATAAGCGTTACTCCTGCCATTGAATAGTTTAAGAAAGGCGATTTGGCGAAGGTCTGTCAACCTGGGTACTGTGCCGCTCTACAGCCTCGAATAGCACGATTTGCGAACCCATCAATCAGATCAAACCAGGGCCTGGGGGGGCATCTTGGGCTCCACCTACGATGCGAGGCACAGCGCTTTGTTGGGCCGTCACCCCTCGCATGAATGGCAGGGAGGCGTCCAGAGAGCACTCAACTGACAAATAAGGGCCGGTATGCCAACAGAGTGTGGGCCGGTCAAGAGGTTACCACCCCGATAGAAGCTGAATGGCGCCAACTTGCTGCGCACCGTGGCGGTGCCGTCGACATTAGCACTATCACTCAGGTTCGCGACCATCTAAGTTCTGAATACTATAGTGAGAAAGTCGGCCTTGGCATTAGCGCAACGGTACGGAGTACGCATAAGAACAAATCAGAGCCAAGGAAAAACTGTCAAGAGGCAAGAAACCGGTCTTATTGCGAGCCTAATCAATAATCGATCGATCCTTATTCAATATACCACAGCGCCCGGAAGCAGTCAGCCGGCTTTGCCCATACCGCTTGCAACTGGCATGGCGACAGGAACTTCCGACACTCCCGTGGGTACAGGAACTGTCTGTAACCGTTACTAGGCCCAACGGTGACAACTGGTCACTTGATTGGGAAATTCAGCAACACCCAAGGGCGTTCAGGAAACAGAGTGCCTTGACTGGATGCTGTGTACCTGGACCCCGCCCGCGCCAAGATGGGCGGATGACCTGTACCTTACGTCTGTACCTTGCACAGGTCTGATGCCTGCCGGCCGGGTGGCCTCGAGTTGAGAGACTCTCGTGGATATCACCCGAGTGTTGCGGCACCATTGCAGAATATCAAGATATCGCTAGCCCAGCCTGCTGGAAGAGACCCTCGGCCTTGGAGGTTTAGGCTCTCATAACTTTTCCCCGTGCTAGGCTCATGAAAGCTTGCTGATATCTGCAACAATGGCCGCCCGTAAACAACCTTGGTGTTCCGAGATTTACTTTGCCAGCGGGATGAGCCATATTGGGCGACGTCGTGTTGCAGGCGTAATCCTCAGTGCTGACGATGTACGCATTGCGGAGGAGATTGCACCATTTCGGTGGCACCAACCACCGAGACCATGTCGATGGTACCGCAGCCAAGTCAGGAGAGGCACGATGCGCAGTCATCAAGCTCGAGTCACCAGAGCCGCCAAGTCACCACGCAAACAAGGGCTTGTCCCAGTAGCCGGTGCGGGTTACAAGCCTTTCACATTATCCTTGGAGTCATGTCTCGGTTCAGCAGATGTCTTGCGTTCTCGTTTAGATGCGTGTATTGGCCAAAGCGTCACCGCAGGGAAGAGGGGGAAAGGCCTCTTTGGGGTGCTGCAAGGTCGCGCAGGCTCAATGCGCTTTGTTTCTTTGTTAATAGATTCTGGATGTACTCCGTACGAGAGACACAACAGCATGCCCACAAGCAGGACTCTCCTCGTTTTTACCTTTCACTAGCTTCGTTTCTTTGCCATGTAAACAAGGTGGTTGGCTAGCTGGACTGGAGCAGGGTTCCCCCAAGGCTGGATCTGGACTCCACTCAAAGGCGAGACATGGCCCTTATCAGGACTCGGTACATGATGGAGTTGCGCAGTTATTCTACCACATCCGTCAGAGGCGGGAAAAGCAACAGCGTCAACAAGAATCGTTCTGTCTTCCACCACACCACAAGGAATCGTCGGCCCCATTTCTTTCCATTGCCACACGACAGCCTCCAATCATTAGGCTGTTTTTCTAGCTGTCAAAGCTTGAATCCACAAGACGCCTCCCTGATCTGATGCCGCCTTTTTGCGCCTGCTCATGTGTGGTCCCCTCTGGTTGTCTGTCGCCACAGGTGGTCCAAGGTGGCCATATGTCGCCCTGGGCGGTGTTGTTCGAAGTTGAATGGTCCTTCTTGTTGGTGTGTCCCTCCGCCTGTTCCACCCATGCCCCTGTCACCGTGCCTCATGACTTCTTTTCCCCTGGGTTTAATGTTGGGTCCCGAGTCCCCAGGCAGCACCATCCCGGCGAGGCCCCCTCCGTGGTCGTTCCGACAGCCCTGGGCTGTTTGGCAGTCTTCGCACGAGGCAACGTTCCGCAAACAGCACGGGGTGCTGGTCCTTTTAGAGGCGCCGACCGTTCATGCTTCTGACACCCGGCCCTCGGCGTCATTCATGACCGGGCGAAAAACCCAAGAACATATTCCGAGCCAACTAGCCTCTCTCTGCGTGTTGTGACTCCTTCGCAGTCGGTCTTCTCTTTGTCGGATGGGTAGCGTTCCTGGGTCGTACTGCATAATTTATTCTCGACCTGCCCTGTTGTGCCGATGTGGTACCTGCAGGCACCGGCCAGTAGCCCGTTGCGGCGCATCACGGCAACAACAGACACACGCGCACACACTCCCCCCCGCACACAATCTCACAATCCACACCATGACTTTTGCCCAGTCGGCGTCATTAGCAAGCTCATTGACCTCTGCTTTGCATGGGGATGATAAAGGCCCATCCGTGTTCAGTCTTCAACCCTCACGCTTGAGCAGCTAAGTGCCAAAGAAACCCTGATCAACTCAACTCAGTTCTGCCCCGCAACCTCCAACCTCCCGGTGGCTTGACTCGAGAAAGTCCCGTCGCAAGCAGTCGCACGTATTTGTCTTGAACAATATTGCTACCGCTTGTACGGAATACGGAGTAATACTGGTCCTGTCCTGGTTCACCTCAACGGCGGGCCTAGATCGGCTTTTTTTTACACTTTGTAACCTTGATAAGCTTTCCTCAGCCAAAAAGCTCGCAAGCTTTTGGCCGGCGTAGCATCGGCCTTTCGATTTTAGACTCGATGCTCGTCAGGTCCGCATCATCCGGCACCCGTTGCAATTCGCACGCTTTCGTCTGAAACTAACACAGGGGACAAGCGAGACGAGACATTCTATACTAAGCTTCGAGGGCACCGGCGCAGACCCCGCAGGATACTGAGGACTCCGGACTGCAACCTCCATCTGCGACGGTGCAAGAGTGTCCGCGGCGCCGCCCCCCTCGTCGCCTCGTCACCCCCTCCCCTGCTCCGCCAGGCTCCTTCAGCCTCACCCACCGTCAGTCGCCCCAGTGCCGCTTAACAATACCCTCCATCCCCTAGACGACCCTCCACTCAACTTTCACCTTGACCTTTTTACCTTCCACGGGCAACGCTCCCGTTCCTCACTGAACGTTACGACCGTCTGGCCGGCCTGTCAACTTGCATCCTCCCCGACGATATCAGTCCAACTCTCAGTAGCCTCGACAGCCATTACTGAGCACCTCGCCATCATGGCAGGCGCGTTCCGACCGGTGAACTCGTCGCTGTTGGGCGAGTCCATCAAGGAGGAGCCCATGACGACATCCTCTTCCTCATCCGTCACGCCCCGGCCGAGTGCAGCATCGCAACATCCATCGCAACCACAACAGTCTCGTACTCTGCCCGATGATTCGAAGACGCCCACTCGATCGACATTCAGCTCTGCTGTTTCCGATCAAAAACCACTGCCCAACGCCCCGTTCCCTCCCACCGGACAGGCCTCCGAACCAGCAGATGGTATGCCACGCCGTGAAAATTCGCAACATTCTACCAAGTCATCCAGAAGAGATTCTATGGATGTAGATATGGATGATTCTGACGGGGAGACTGGCGCCGGTGGCGATGACGGTACAATTTCCGATGGGGACAGTGTAGGTGCCGATGGCTCGAAATCAAATAAAAAGAAAAAGTCTCAACGATTTTATTGTACCGACTATCCACCATGCAACCTCAGTTTCACCAGGAGCGAACACTTGGCCCGACACATCAGGTTCGTTTTGTCGTCATAACTATATTCTTGGGCAGGATTTCAGTATCAGGCTGGCACAGGCGCTAACTACCCATCTTAGAAAACATACTGGGGAACGGCCATTTCAATGCCATTGCTCCCGCCGCTTCTCACGGCTTGACAACCTTAGACAGCATGCTCAGACTGTTCATGTAAACGAGGATATTCCAACGGATTCACTCGCTGCGACGGGGTCGCGGTTTCAGCGGCAAATGCGAACTACAGACAGAGTACGGCAAGCAGGCAACAGAGCCAGGGCATCAACGGGTGGCAGCGCGGGCGGGCCTGTTCGCGGTCATTCCAAGAGTCTGTCAACGTCCAGCATTGCCAGCATTAGCTCTGTTGGCTCGGGCTACGGCCCTCAGATGGATGTGAGGAGGCGACCACCACCCCTGGTCATGGCCGCGGATCCTCGGTCTCGGATGTCGCTCGAATCGTACCGAAGCAACGCAGACAGCACGTTTTCATATCGGCCTCCTTCCCCTGGCGATTTCAGCACCCCGACGTCTGCTACCTTCTCAACGGCACAGAGCAGCCCGCGGTGGATGTCAGGAATGGCCTCGCCTACGTCATCCCACTCACGGTCCCAAAGCATGTACAGTTCAGGAAACCGAACGCCAGGCCGACGACTCAGTGTGCCATCCAGCGCAAATCCCTTCCAATCAGCTCCCGGACGTGCCTTATTCAGTGCTGGCCACCTGAACAGCTCACACCCATCCGCCTTCTCGCCCGCGGGTTCCAGCTTGGTTACGTCTCCAACGTCGTCTACGTCTGGGTGGTCCACTCGGCGAGACTCTGTCTCAAGCAATGGCGACGACGCGTGGAGGAGACGCACATGGCACCCAGACAGCCGAACTCAGTCGAACCAACTAGCCGGAGTAAATCAGAACGTGGGACCAAATCCTCCTCCACCTATCGCAAACCCGTCAAACTCTCAGTCATCTCTGCGCCTTCCCGGCATTGAGTCGTTCGACCCGCTTCCACGCCGACATCCGACGCCGCCACCACCCCAGCAGCAGCAGCAGCAGCCGCCGCAGCCACATGGTCC